CCCCAAAACCCCAAAACCCCAAAACCCCAAAACCCCTTAAGGCTAAGTTAGAGATATCTCTAGATTTAATAATTCTTTTGCAGATATTATTAAATTATTAGGAATATAAATAATGTAGAAATATTAACAATGTATTATCAAAAGCGAGAAGCTATTTTCTCTGTTTTAAATAAATTTTGAGATTACAAAATAGCTAAACTTTGGGATTCAGCTTGAGTTTAGAAAACCACGCCTTTGGAATACTTAAGTATATTGTAATTCGTTAGTATATTCCTTTCCTTTTCTTCTCTTCTGTCCCAATTCCATTTGTAAACTTTGCTATAAGATAAACCGGTGATCTCAGCTAATTCTTAGATCTTAGTTTTTGTCCATTTATTATTTTTATCAAATTCATTTTAGAGTATTTTTAGCTAGCTATCTGATACAAATTTTATCTTTATTTTTGAATTTTCTTTCTTCTTTGATTATTTACTTTTCTCCTGAGTTTTCTTATGAGAATTGTTCAAAGATCCACTTTATATATCTAGAGCGGCATTTTTTTAAATGTAAGTTTTATTTTTCTAATATATATTGGCAGAGGATTCTTTTGACTCCATATTTACTTAAGTGCATTCTGTTAAGCTAGCAATAATGCCAGATACTTCTTCGTTTTAATACTCCATAAGATTTAATAGACATTTATCACAAAAGCATGCTCTTTCAAATAGCTGAAAGTTTAATTGATGATGATCCTATGAATAATCTTGCTCTTTTGATTATTTATTTAAGCTTCCTATACATTGCTCTTGATCTGCAATAATTTCATCATTAGGAGAGATCAAGTTTTCTTAGATAGTAATTTTTGAAACTTGCCCTGATAAGTTTGATTAAACTGAATCTCTCTCGAAATTAGCAGCTTAATTTTCATTACTATTCTTGTCGTAGCAAGCGAGAAATTAATCCACATCGAAAAAGTCTGGATCGTTAATTTAAAATGTCTTGGAGACTTATATAAATGTTGTCATTTTAGGAATAATGCTTTTAATAATTCTAATTGAAAAATAAAGTATTTCTTGTTTTAATAATAGATCAGAAATAATATTAATGCACTTTGAAAAAAGAAAAGTGATTCAACTAAACAATAATAATAATAATATTTTTATTTATTTTTCACTATCTCCCTTAACATGCATAATCTCTCAAGAAGGGGTTTTGGGGTTTTGGGG